CGGTCCGGTCCGGTTGTGAAAACCATGGCCAATTTACTAGTTAATCAACTTATCCCGCTAAATATGAGCAAATGAACGAGACCAGTAAAAATTTGTGTGTTCCAATAAACAGTACAAAGGAAGAGAAATAATTAGAAGGGAACAGTGATGAATAATAATGGCCGTATAAAACAAAAGAGGTTGTCAAGTCAAAGAAGAAGCGATTGCATTGAATTGATGCGCGAAGAAAATGTCCCTCCCACCGTGGCCCACCTCACCTCTCTTCTTTTTGGGAAAGAAGAGAAAGAATAAGACATGTTTCAAGTTGAGACGCTACTCACTTTTATCTTTCCCAAAAGTACCCCAAAGGCCAAACCCATAGATATCGGTTACATACATTATTATTTATTGTTTTTGGGGCTTTGGACTTTGTATAATTGGAGGGGACTCCAATTTTTTCTTTTCACTATATTATTATTCTTCTCCTTTTTCCTTTCTTACCAAGCATGAATGATAATTGACAGACATATCACTACAGCAGTTATTTTGCTAATTATGACAAGTTTCTTCCTTTTTCAATTTGAGAATATTGCGTTTTTAGGTGATGACTTCAATTCATCATTCAGTAGTTGGGAACGGGATCTGCTCCTCACATAGGGGCGCCTAATAGGCACATCCACCGTGTATTGAGAATATTTTTCAAGTAAGGAAAATGTTCCCAATGCATAGTAGGATGTGTGTGTTGTAAAGAGTATATCCGGTTTCTTCAAATGAAAGATAGGGTTTCAAATCCACACCAAGAGAGTTCACATCTCCACCCCCATAAGGGGCCACCCCATAATACATCCTCGTTTTGTATTGGGACCATCTGACATCATCGATTCTGATATTATCATTGGGAAATGTTTCCAATATACAGCGAAGATGTGCTGTGGGGCAGAGATGTGAACTCAAACCAAGGTAGACTCTTGGCATGATAAATTTCAGTGAGCCTACACGTGCATTCTTCTCATTATTGATCTATTAACTTGCTAACTACTTTTTTTTTTTTTTTTTTGTTCCAAAAGACACTCAGAAAGCTAGCATTCATCAAATAAGCTCATTACAGAAGATAGTTTGGCTGCTCTCTTTTTCTACTATTATATTACATTTACATGCATTATATGCTAAATCATGAACAGCCCTATTCATTTGTCTATGTACATGAGATACACATACTATATCAAAAAAAGATAGAAGTTGTATAACTTTCTGCTTTATAGGCTGAATAAGCCACTCCTCCTTAGTTCTAGGCGTTGAATAGAAGAATATGAAAATCTTCATGATGCATTTTGAAATTATTGTAGCATGTTACATCAAAATTAGATGTCATATGATTTACTTACTATATATTATTTATTGTTAGTTCACATTTCACAAGAGATACTTTTCATTAAATACTTTAATAACATCAAAGATGTTACTGTGATTGATTTATTATTTTCTTTTTTAGCGTATAATTAAATTTATCACTAATTCATTCACATTTGCATTATACTATGACAATTTTCATAGATTTTGACAACTCCAGGCCTTCTTACCCAAGGGTAAGCCCTCAAAATGCTTAGGGATCTACTAGTTACCCTTTAGAAAGAAACCTTGAAAATCACAATGGGTTCTACTGAACATATATCCTGTTAATAGGAAACCAGCATATCCTGACTCTTAAGGTTAAATTTGCAAGGAGTATAAATATAAATACATAAACTGTAAAACCTTGTATTTTGTATTATTTTACATGTATTTGTATTATATATATTTATATTTGTATTATTTCCAAACCGAGCCTAAGTGCTTAAAATTGCATCAGGACTTGTAATCCTGATGATTAGCTATTAGTGGGATCCCTTGCTCAAAATGGATAGCGATCAAATCATCAGCGCATGTAGACAGGAGGAGTTTCTAAAAGTAAAAATCGTGTAAATTTCTTGACACATAATATCCGATTATACATCAAGAATATCTCCGCATGAATTTTACATACAAATAAATATATGAGATATTCTGAATATACAGTTAGATGTTGTACTTTCAAGGTATTCGTATGAATTTTACTCGCACTAGATGCAGATTCGCATTTAAATTGATCCTTTTGTTATTCAGGTACAGTAACCTTGCTTTAAACACTAAAGAAGAAAGAGGGATTACATCAATACTTAGATACTTTTTGGGGGTAAATCTCTTAAATTACCCTTAAGTTTTAGGAAATAGACTTACACCCCTACTATTTGCAAATTTTTTTAAAATATCCCTAGATCTTTTGACAATTGGCATGATTGACCTAAGGATTGAAGTGTCAAATTTGTCCTTCGTTATTCTTCAAATTTTCAAACACATAACACACCTTCTTAGTACAGTGTTAATGCGGTCACATTTCTAATCATCAGACCTCACACTCGTAAGGTAGCTGATTTAGGTCAAATGTTTAAACTCTTTGTAGAACTTAAGCCTTCGTCTTAGCTTGCATCAACCTCATGGAATATTTTCTTCTTCAGTGCGCTACTACTAAATAGGCAGAGTGTGTTGGTGCTATTGTTGATCTACACCTTGTAAACTTCTAGATTATTAGATTATTTGTAGTTTAGAATCTGAATTCTCCCAAACATATCTCAACAATCACACTGGTATCATATTGCAAATGTTGACTGGTATCAGTATTGCAAGGACAAAGTGGTGATGTCGATCATGCAATCAGCAGTTCTAGCGGGTACTATGCATACAACACCAATTCATCAAAGCTATTCAACTTTTGTTCCAAACTGATGTTGTTCGAATTGTGGTGGACGAATAGCTAATAAATGACTTGATGAGTTGGACAAGCTAAAATTGATCGGATGACTTAATAGGGGTATCAATTGGATTGGATTTGGTATAATCCGGTCCAGTTCAATGTGAGTCTATTACAAATGGACCTGATTCAATGAATACTTTGGACCGGTCCAGACACTGTCCAATCTGTTTAAATTCCTGTTAATTTAAATTGGTTTCAACTCAAACCTGGTCCATTGACACATATGTTCTTATCTTTTATTAATGGACCAGATATTGGCTCAATCCAATATAAATTCATTATGGACGGACCAAATCCAATCCAATATGTCATATTGGTCCGTCCAATCCATCTAAATAGATTTTGAATTGCAAAGAATACAGAGTTGCATGCGAAACAATTTCAAATTCATGAACCCTTGCCATCTTGACATTGTGAATAACCCAATTTCTAATTAATGGAGATGAAGCTTTTTCTTATCCATTCGCAGAGAAGAAATGCAAAGAAGAAGAAGCAGCAGCAGTAGCATCCAAGTTTGAATCGAGACTTGGAGTCTATTGGCTTGCAAGGGTGAAGGTGGCCCTGACCAAAACTTAGGTCGTCATATGAAATCAAAGGGTAAAATTGGTTTAAAAAAATTACCATGTGCAATGACATGTGAATGTCATAATTGTTAGAATATCAAAGTCGTAGTAGAGATAATTTTAATCTATTTCTAAAACTTAAGGGTAATTAAAGAAATTTATCCTGGAGACTGGAGGTATACCGCATACCAGGGAGGTAGTCCACTCTCATCCCCTTGATTAAACCTCTCTCTAACCCTAACCCCTAACCCCTGGTGGCAGCAGGATGTCAGGTATCTGCTCCAACGAATAAGAAGAGATCCTACCAATTAAGCCACCATCAACCACTTGTTTGCATTATCGGCGGACGATAATACCAGGCAGGGGGCCCTCCGCCATCGTCGTGTACACGATAAGCAAAAGCAAAGCGTAAAGCTTGACAGTTGACACCTGTGACTACTCCCAAGTCCCACCTGACTTCACCAGTCGTGACATTGACCCCAAACGTGCCGGGGGAAAGTCCATGACCCTGGATCTCCTACATTTTTTCTATGCACTTATCGTGTACTCCATTCACAATCTACGACAGCTGTCTCATTTCACATACTGTTACCACTTAAAATCAGTTATTTATTGACACCTGGCGCGTGTCAAACACCGACTTAAACCCCAAAAAAAACTGACGTGACGGACAAAAAAAAAAAGAAGGAAATTATAAGAAGAGACAGATGGCTAGGCCCCGCGTGCTTATGACAGGCGACAGCAGCTTGTCTAGACGCAGCCGTAATTTATATTTATCGACTACCTTTTTTCCAATCTTCAGTGCATTTTCCTTATCCTTATGGTTTTCTGATTACTTTTAATTGAGGACGAGGAGAAGGAGAACCCAACTCGGGAACGCCTTTTTAAGTCTTGGTGGCTTCGTTCTCCGTGAAATGACGTCGACGACTCAACAGAAAACCACAGCCCAACAGGCTAGACTTATAAAAGGGATGATAGTAAATAATCAAAGGGGGAAATAAGAAAGAGCAGATAATAAAATGGTTTGTCTTTCATCCTAAAAGGAAAGAAAGAAAAAGGCTAGTAAAATCAAAAAGATTGAATCTGAGGACCAAAGCTTGATGGATTCGTTTGCAAGATTTGACCTCCTGATTCCTCTATACAGAGTACAGACACAGTGGGATACTGGGAATGAGCTCGTTGGTTGGTTAAGGAGAAGCTATCAACCAGAACAAATTGATCTGATGAGGAATTTGGATGGAGGAGCAATACGATTGATTTGAGGTTGATGGTACGCCAACCACATATATGGAATATAGTTAACAGTTCAGTTCAGTAGTCACTTGTAATGATTAGTTAGGTAATATGCCATAGACGTTAATCTAAAAAACAAATGGGAATGGGGAAGAAAGAAAATAAAAAGAGAGGTAGTGGTGGAACAGGAGCAGGAACAAAGAATCACATAATCGACTTAAATTTGATGATAAAGATGACGATGAGATGATGAATACGACAATAAACAAATAGAGCCAAAGGCAATGGAGACAATGCAAATAAGCACAGTGAAACAAGTCTCGTTACATCATTCATATATACATTAATAATAATATTTTATTCATGTTCATAAGAAGCTACTTTAATTTATTTTATTGGAGATCGGTAGGTGGACCGAAGAAGCAAAGCCCGTAAGCGCTGGAGTTGGGCATTCTTTTTGAGACTTCAAACACCTCAACCCCCACCTCGAAAAATAAAAAGGAAAAGGAAAAGAAAATAAAAGCAAAAGAAAGAAACGGTAAGGAGTAACGACGTAGGGACCAGGGACAAAGGACATATTCACAAGGCACAAGAGAGAGAGGTCTCCACGATACCGTACCTCATTGGTCCAGGATAAACCATCCCCCAAACACCCGATACACAAGCGGTTACATACTCTGCTAGCTATATATCTCGCTTCACAATTCCCTCTAATAAGGAATGTCAAGCACACCAATTCTCTCTCTCTCTCTCTCCCCTCGCTTCTCGTATTTCTGCAGTACAGAGTACTAACAGAAGAAGTAAAACATCTCAGCGATCCAATAAGATGTTGCAGGAAGAAGAATACTCTCCAGCAGTAACAGCTGGAAAAGTAGAGTCTTCAACTTGCCTCAACCAGCTCCCGTCGGTGATGAGTACAAGAAAGAAGAAGAACAAGAATAAAAGGAGGTTCAGTGACGAACAGATCAAGTCTTTGGAGACTATGTTCGAATCAGAGACCAAACTTGAGCCCCGGAAGAAGCTCCAGCTGGCAAGAGAACTGGGCCTGCAGCCTCGCCAGGTTGCCATATGGTTCCAAAACAAACGAGCACGATGGAAATCAAAGCAGCTCGAGCGTGACTACAGTATACTGACTGCCAATTATGATGCTCTGGCTTCTCGATTTGAGACTTTGAAGAAGGAGAAGCAGACCTTAATGGTAGAGGTACCACTCTCCCTCCTTTCAAAAGCTCTTCCTTCTTTCCCGCTAGACAGTAGCCTGAACAGTAAAAAAGATTAATCTGGTTAGGAAGGACCATAATATGTTTCTCTTGGCTTTTGACAGTTGCAGAGGCTGAATGATATACTCGGAAAACCTCGAGATGAGAACAGGTGGTGCCAGTCAACCACAGCCGCAAACAGCACCGATGGAGACTCGGACAATGGAGATGCCAAGTGTGAATCTGACACAAAGCCCAGCGTATTATTGGAAGCGGAAGACCAAAGAGTGGTCTTCTCTTCAGATGATGAGAATAGTAGAAGCCTCGAGTGTTTTGGACAGGAAGAAGAACCCGAACTAAACATGGCTGAAACTGCAGATGGTTCTTTGACATCACCTGAAAATTGGTGCAGTTTCAATTCAGGCAGTCTGTTTGATCAGCCATGTAGTGGTTCGCAGTGGTGGGACTTCTGGTCTTGAGGAAAATAAACCAGGCCAAACAAAACCTGGAGGATATCAGGGAAGTTAGTAAGATGGTAAGACCTCAAGTGATACAGGAGAGTGCGGACCATTCCAGATAAGCTTTGTAAGTTTTCAAGGACTGAAACAAAGAGGAAATTTGGATCCTCTACAATATCTACTGCTTCACCAGACGAAAGCAATGACTAACAGAGCCGGCCGGTATTGTCAGTCTCGTTTCTTTATCCTTTTACCTGAGATAACTATGATTGGTTTGAGCTAAGACGATTATGCGGAGTTAAGAGAGTAGAGATCGTCTGGCTGTCCATAATACCAATAATAATCAACCACGTCTCTCTTTTCCGTAAAATTCAAAATTAACGGAGTTCAGACCTTAACGGCAGCAGCTGGACTCCAAAACTTATCAATTATATTTTAACCGCCCTTTTGGGATCCCACTTTCCAAGTTTCTCTTCTCCATTTTCGTTCTACTTTCTCTACTCTCCCTCACAACGAAAGTTCTGCACCAACGTCATCGCACACTGCCAACCGTCATTTGTTTGCGGCTGTGCGAGTGTATCTACTTTCATTGCAGTTCAACAATGATAATAATATTTAACCCAAAACATCCAAAACAAACTTGGATGCAAACAAAGACAATCAGAAATTCAATGCTTTTGAATTGTTTTACTTTTAGCCGCCTTGTACGTTGTGTTATGCTTGTCTTGCTTTCAACAGTGATCCTGATCAATAATCTGTATCTGTAGTTGTGTAAATGTATGTACAAATGCAAGGTCAAAATATATATATATATATATATATATATATATATATGCATAATCTAAATATCATAAGCCACGAAACTTATGAATCTGGGGGGAAAGGTGACTGATCACCATAAAGTCCATACCCCCCAGCCAAACTAGGAAATGCAAGGTCTCAACCTGGACTCCATTGATGATTGGCCCAACCTAAAGTCGGCCCCATCTTTTTTTTTTTTTTTCTCTTTTTAGGCTGTGTTTGATTTGAAAGAAAATGTAGAAAATCCATACAAAGGCCTATATAGGTTTTCCTACCTACTCTTTCAAACCAAATACATCCTTAAGCTGTGTTTGATTTAAAGGAAAGAATAGGATAAGGAAGAGAAAGATAAGAAAATCTTTACAAATCTTATATACGTTTTCCTAATTTTCTCTTCCTTTTCTTACCTTTTCCTTCAACCAAACATAGCCTTAAGATATCAATTACAATACACCTAATATAGGCGACACATCATATCAGTATGGTACATGGCAAAGTGGATTAGACACAGTTGCAAAAAATCCACCCGTGTTTATCCCATATTCATTGTATCACATTGTATTGATTGATACGAACTTACACCAACTGATACAACACAATACCAAACATGAATTGGCGGAATCTCCACTTCAGTTTTTGACGAACTTTCCAGCCTTTAGTCATTTTTGTGTGTGTCCTAAGCTCGTTGGTTGGAGACAGTCCCGAGTAGCGTTTCATGGTTCAATAATAAAAGATGAAATCACTTTTTAAGAATTAAAAGGAAAAATAGGAGAATTGACTAGTTAGTGGAGAAAGAAAAAGGAATTGACTAATTGGCAGGAGAGAGAGAGAGAGGAAACCTAATAGGGATTTGAAGGAGAGGCAACTGCAACCATCACCGTCACCATTGCCATTGTCGCCCCCTCCCCTCCTCCTTCTTCTTCTTCTTCTTCAACCGCCCTTCTCACTCTCATCTCCTCTGATATTACTTATATAATCATCCTATCTAATCCTAATATTCTAATCTAAAGGCCATGATAATACATATTATACTTGGGCCAATAGGTGAAACTGCTTGACTCAATTAAATAGCTGAACCAGAAACCAGTGGCCAATGCAGCTCCATTTCCAATCAGTTTTTAAAATCTTGAAAAATGTATTAATAATAGTAAATATAAGTTTTAGATAACTATAAAATAGTTATTTACATATAAAAAACATACTTTGAAAATAAAATAAAAGAACTAAAATATGCATGAATATACCTTTGTTCTCAAAAAATCAAATATAATGTGTTTTAATATTTGTAAATATATAAATTTTAATAATCAATTAACATTTATTACAATTATGATAAGCAATTAGAGTATGGCATAGTGATAGACCCGTGGTCATTCAAAGTTCAAACTAATGGCCAAAGGTTCAAATTTCTTATAGCTTTTATAGCAAAAAATATATGTTACAACTATATAAATAATAGAAAGAGGAAAGAAGGGAGATGAAGTATCCTCTAACCATAGAGTTTACATGTGCTTTCTCCTCTCATTTCTTGCATATATGCATGTTTATTTTTAAATGAAATCATTAAAAAATAACAAAGGCAAAATTAAAACCCTCATAAAATCCATATACTCTCTAATAACACCATCTCTCTCTCTCTCTCTCTCTCTCTCCTTAATAGTCAATGTTTGCAACATCTCCCCACCCCATTAAACCCTTTTTTTCCTTAGCCCCTTTTGGCTCAATCTAACAAAGTAGAGGTGTTAATTAGATGGGGTTAGGTTAAGAAGGGTCAACCTAATTATGAACCACACCTTTCACCCAAACTAATGTCAAAAGACTCAAAACCCAAATTTGCCCCACCATGGGGTGAACTAATTTTCTTCTTATATAAAAGTCTAAAGAAACACTTCTCCTTTCCATGGGTTATTAGGTTTTCTCTATTCCTTTATTAATTTCATGTAGATTTGTTTCATAGATTCTTTTGGTTCAACAATAAAAAGCACTTAACATGAGACTGATTATTTTCATCATTTCAATTTTGAAATTATTTTTTAACTTGATTATTAATCTCATATTAAGAACATTTCTTGACTATATAAGAAATAATAAGTTTGAAGTTCAATAACCAAAAACGAAAAGAAAACTTTAGCGAATCACTATTACTTATTTTTTCCCTTAAAATTATATTTTCAAAAAACAGCCCGTGCAATTGCATGGGTCACCGCTAGTTAATTACTAATTAGGGAAGTTTGGACACGTAGGAATCTATGGAAGATTAGGAGTAAGACAATATGAATTTGAAAAGCTGCCTATATTGAGAGAGAGAGAAAGAGAGAGAGTAATTATGGGGTTATTAATGAGAGAAAATGCAGAGAGGCCAGCTTAAAAGCACATAATGTACCGACTAATAAACTCAGATTTCCATGATTAAGCGGTGCCTACGCTGCCAATTTGATGTTACTGTCTCAACCTCTAATTTTCAATTTTTAGCCTAAAAACTTGCCACTCTGGATTGCATCTTAACAAATTAAGGGGAATTAGTTGGGGTATAATACATGGACATGCATAAGAGCCAACATGTAGGAGACAATTTGACGTCAGTCATATGCCTCAAGCAACTGAGACTTGAGCATGTAAAGTGGCATTTCCCAACATTTGATATCAACTTAAACTAAACTCAATTTTTCCAGTTTATTCCAACTACCCAGGATATCAATCAACATTCTAATGTTTTCAGATTTGAAGCTGGGAACTGATGTGACATTCTAATATATTTGGATCAGAATCACTCAAACTCAGTGCTGCTACAGATGATAAAATAGGCTGCAACAAAATATCTATGATACAAATAATTTGTTAAATTACAAAAATGATGAATGAATAATAAGAGATCTGGAATTATCACCAACTTGGCCTCTTAATGTTCTGTCTTGACCTTCACATCCCCATTTGGTAAGATACTTTGCGCTTGTGCAAGCCTCTTCGATTCCTGCATGAGACACCAGGAGATGAAAAACCAATGATACAAGACTACACAACAGTCAACAACAACAATATTAACAAGGTTCAAAATATTGACGTGATACACTCAATACATGGTGTATCGTAACGATATCCAGAGGGGCATATGGCATGGTAAAAACCAAGGATGCAAGATTAACAACAGTCAATAACAGCAATATTAACAAGGTTCAAAAGGTTCAAAATATCGACATGATAGACTGAATACAGAGCGTATCATATCGATATACAGAGGAGAATATGGCATAGTGAATTGGACATATGGATGGCACTTTTCCCGTCCACACCGGGTCGGGGATGGGGAGTGCATTCCCCATCCTGCCCAGACCCTGATTATATATACTAAATATATACATATACAATATTATTCATATTATATATATATATATATCAAAATATATTTAAAAGATTTTTATATTTTAATAAATTTCTCTTATTTTAAGTAAATCTATTTTCTAAAAATAATTTTAATTTAAAAATTTCAGAGATTCTGGTCCAAGGTTCAAAGTATCGACACGTATCAGTCGATACAGGCCGATACGTATCATTCCAGGACCCCTCCGATATGCCCCTACAGTGGGCGTATCGGGGGTCTGACCGGTTCAGGGGATGGAGACCTAAACCAGCCCCCCTGAACCGGTTGTAAAAAAAATAAAAAAAAACATATAAAAATGCAGTATCGATTCACCCGATACGCCACTACCGGCGTATCGGATGTATCGATATTTTGAACCTAGGATGGAAGTTCATTTTTATCCCCAACCAGGATCGGGGTCGGGAACAGGGATTAGTTGCAGTCGGGGACAAGGAGTATGGCCCCAAACCCGCTCCATTGCCATTTTGTATCTTATGCTATGTTGGAAACACAAACAATCCTTTCACTCCTTGAAAAATCAAAAGAAAGAAAGGAAGAAGAAGAATATAGTATTCATTTAATTATTCCAATTGATGTGTGTTTTTGGGGTTTTAATTGTGGAAAAATATGGTGATTAGTATTTTTTTTCGTAAATAGATTTGTGGTTATAAATTCATGCATTTTCTCCAAAACATGGAAATTTTGAAAATTACAAAAAACAATTTATTTGTCTTAAATGATTTCTATAATGATTTACCAAATCCATTGATCCAACAACATTTTACATCAAAATTGATATTTTCTTCATTTTTGGTATTTTGTATAAATAAAATAATAGAAAAATAGAATTATTATTGTTTATTTATATAAATGATTATATTATAAAATAAAATAATTATACAATTATAAAATTGATAGTTTTTCTTTTTTTTTTGGTCTGATGCTTAGTCAGTAGATGTGTCTTATCAATTATCATGTAATAATATTTAACACAAACAATTTCAAAACTCAAGATTGAGCGTAACCGTGAGGTCAAAATTGATGCATATCATATATTGATACGTTCTGATATTTTGAGCCTAGCATATTAATGAAGTAAATGCATAATTTTCATGTTGTATCACTAACTCAAGTGCAAGGCCCATTTTGCTGCCCAAGTAACTTAAGGAAAATAAATGCTAATGCGCACATCCAGACAATCTGAATGCTGTTACTTGATGTCCAATTTTATGCCATAATAATCATGAACATGCCAATATCAAGTGACCAAAGGATGCATAGGAAGCAAGACTGATGCACCAAGTTTGTGAAACTCATCAAAAGCACATTCGGAGAGCTCATCTGTGTGCTTTTGAACTTGTGCATATTTGTACAACAAATTTGCAAATCAAAAATTCCTTTACTTAGCCTCTGCAATTGCCTAACTAGTAAATTATACAAGTTAAAGGCATAAAGCACTATGATGATTCTGTATACAAAAAGCACTATGCTGATTCTTTTTCTCAATAACGGTCTACCAGTATGTGCGTGAGAGAGAGAGAGAGAGAAGTTAAAGAGAAAAAACTAGGTTATCTTTAAGGTGTTTTCTGTCCACATGAACATAAATCTTAGGGACCACCTCTCCCCTTTTGGATGAGATGCATGAACTTTACTCCAAAATGGCTGAAGCATGGTCATAAACATGGACCTTGACCACTTCAGTAAGTTCATGTAAAAGTAACATAAAATATCCAGAAACCAGTAGACTTGATCAACAACCCATCAACCTGGATGGTTGAACCTTTGACCCATTTAACCTGTCCACCAGGTTACTGGCTTTTTATTAACTCTTCATTGCTGTGACATCATTGGTTCACCCATTGTTCCATATGATTTAACCAATGAACCTTTGACCCATTCAACCTGTTCACCAAGTTACTGGCTTTAACTCTTCATTGCCGTGACATCAAAGCTTCATCCATGACCCATTGTTCCATATGACTGAACCAAAGACCCGTCCATCCAAGGGAAAATACGGTTCAACCTTCTGATTGGGATTTAAAACATTGGTTTAGTAGTGGCTGTTAAGCAACAATGAAAAAGGATCGTCTACTGGTTTAATCTTCACTTACTCTGTCATTTTAATAAAATTCCCATTTATTCACAATCTATGCATGGTTAGTAATCCATTTTTGTTCTTTTGATTGGTACATAATAATCCAATCTATAATCAATTCCCATCAGAAACCCCAAGTCCCCAACACCTTTTCTTTAGTATACATTACTTAATATGGGAATTTATGAGACTAATTTTTCGGTTTCAAAATTCTAGACTTCCAACATTAGGTGCTATGACTAAGGTGGCATTAGGTAAATCTTATGTCTGAAAAGCAAAAAAAAAAAAAAAACTCTGAAAGCATTCAGTGGAAAATTTGCTTTTATGCTTTTGTAGACATCTGAATATAGTGTTGTTCGGTAATCTGAATGTTGTGACGTCTAAAAAGTTTTCATTTTACAAATTTACCCCTTAAGCTGTTATTTAAATAAAAGTAAATGAAAATTATTAAAATAGTATGAAATTATCAAAAAACATTATAAAAATAATAAAATATAAAATCTAATGATGTTAAAAATGATAAATTAGTAAAAAAATATTATAAACATAATAAAAATGAAGAAAAAGAAAATAATAATGGTAATAAAAAGTTAAAACTATAAAAGTGATCATATAGTATTATTAAAAGTAATACAAAATGAACATAAAATAATAATAAAGAGATCTATAAAAAGCGAAATAATATAGAAAGGTAAAACACTAAAAATTTATTATAAATATAATAAAAATGTAAGAAATAAAAGAGATTTATAAAATAATAGTAATAAAAAGTTAAAATATAGAAAATATCATATAATATCATTAAAAAATAATATAAAATAGAAGGAAACGAAAGAAAAGGCAATCTCAATACATTTATCTGATTAATTCATTTGTGATTCATTCAGCATAGTAGGAAAAAAAAAAACAGCTGTCCCAATACATTTAGAAAGCATTTTTCTACATTCAAAACAAAAATGCAGCCTATCAAGCATAGACTCCACTGGATTATACCAATCTCTTCAATGAAAAGTTTCAATCTAAATTGCAAAAAACCAATGGAATAGAGTTTTTCAAACCATTTTTTGACAAGGCCAAGGTCCGATACATCAAACCCCCCCACCCTCCCCTGTTATTTGTCAAATGCATAAATTAGTTTTTTTTTGTTAGATTCACACACACACATAATGGGAGAGCAATAACGAAAAGAGAAAAAAGGGGCTTTGGTTTGGGGAGAGAAGCTTTAAAATGCAGGGGTAGTTTTAGGTTTTTCAAAATATCTAACGGGCACTGCTGGAAGAAAATGTCCGTGTGCTACCTCCAAATGCACTCGGAGGTAGCTCACCCTCTGAATAATTCTGAATAAAATTCAGTATTCGGTGGCTCGATTCGGAGCTGCAGACAACCACCGACAACTGAAAATCAACTTTTTCAACATTCAGTGGCCAATTCAGCGCTACCGAAAGCCACCCAAGTCTATGTCATACTGATTAATGAAAACACAGCAATTTCAACTCAATTTTTAAGTCAATTGTATTGGGACAGATTACACACAAGTCGAAGGCATCAGCAAACCAACTTGACACAGCATGAACCACATATTGACACTGTATATTAATCATTCAGTTACGACCCTATATTGTGATCTGGTAGATCGTGAAATACCTGAATCACCTTTTTTACGGTGGGTCCCATTTACACAGCCCATAAATGAATATCAATCCCCAATTTATAAAACTCGAGCAAAACCTAGATCCAAATTTCCCTAGTGTTTTAAAAGTGAAATGTGTAAAAAAGAGCACAATGGCCATTTTGCACATGAGACAGCAAGGCGCAAGGTGAGGTGCACGCCTTTTTGAAGCAAGGCACAAAAATGCAAAAAATGCAAAATGTTAAAAATATTAAACACATTACAAAATAAAAATATAAACTTAAACTTTAAAGTAAACGTTTTAAAAAACCTATTATCTCAAATTAAAATACATAAACATAACATGTAAAACATATTTAAAATGAAAATTTAAAACAAAATCAAGCATAACATATAAAACATATTCAACCATGTAAACTCTTACTCCCTTTATTTTTTTTTTCCCAATTGCATTATTCAAATAGAAAATGTGATGTTAAACATTATACATTCCTGATTCTACGAACTGCCTTTCTACCAAGCCCCTCGAGTGAATGAATGAGCAACATTAGCAAATATGGGGTTTTTAGAGCTTCAATGAGTGAGCGAATCAAGCGATCTGGAGCGAAAAGAACCCCATATTTGCGAATGTTGCTCATTCATCCATCCTAATAGAAGATATTTTTAAAACACTTAGAGTTATAAAACCTTTTTTATAAGGATTAAGAATTTAAGACCTTGATATGGGCTTGTTTGGACTTTGCCTCGAGGAGTTTGGTCGGGGGTAAAAGGGCTCCACCCCTAGCCCAGATACTAAACATAAAAACACAAATAGAAAAATGCACAGATTTTCAAAAGGTGTATGCCTGGGCTGAAGTGCAAGGCGCACCAGGCGCACGCCTAGGCAAACTAGGCACACGCCATTTGAAAGTGTTGCACCTAGGACCTAGGCAAGGGCCACAAGGCACATACCCTAAAATGTGCCTCGCATGTGTGCCTAGGCAACACTGAATTTCTCAACCCTTCTTTGCTTAACCACTTTAAGATCGCCTTGATGTTCTAGATTATGTAATTTGAATGGCTCCCTCCCTCGAGAAAACAAGACAGCTGCAGCTAAGCACCATTCCAAGCAAGCCAGTGAGGAGAAGATGCCTATGTCTTAGAGCATATTAGTTGCAATTACCATGCTAATAGTGGAAGTGGTTGCGACATCATTTTCTGACTTCTTGGTGGTAAAAGTCAAAAGAGCTCTTTACTAAACAAAAAAAAGGGGAAAAAAAGTCAAAAGAGCCTTTGGAACAGGATAGGCTTTGGCGTAGAGTAATTGTGAGTATCCATGGATTGGCAGTTAATAGATGGGATGCTGGTCTCAACCCAAGGGCTACTCAGTCTTCGCCTTGGAAAGCTATTTACAGCATTTTTCCTTCTCTCCTTCCAATACCCTTCTTCAGTGACTCAGTAAAGAAAGATTCCTCCTTTTACAATACCCTTCTTCAGTGACTCAGTCTAGTAACTTGTTAGGAATTTTCCCAACAAAGAATGTTTGGTGTAGCCCAATGCCCCAAAAAATAAGGGCTTTTTGCTGGGAGGTGGTATTCCAAAAAATCAACACCTTGGATGTGCTTCAAAGAAGGTCACATTGTCTGGGTTGTGATGAGAGAACTACACACTTATTTATCTCCTATCCCTTTGTATCTTATATTTGGGATTGGTTCTCTTCTCTCTTTTGCTGGAAGTGGGACCCTACCCAAGATGTGGTGGACCTTTTCGATCCATGTTTCTTTAGGCATCCGAAGAAGAAGGGTAAATTAATGTGGAGAGCCACAAGGGCAGCTACCCTCTAGTCAATTTGGGATGAAAGAAACAACAGGATATTTAGAGATGTTGGAAAATCTAAGGAAGAAATCATTGATGGAATAACCATCAAAATTTTATATTGGCTGAAAACATTAGCTCTTTTCAAGGACTTCTTAGTTGATGACATCTTAAGACGTTGGAGTGTAGTGGCAAATTCTGCTTCTTTAAAGGCGATCTCAGGATACTTGGACTCCTACTGTCCAAAGGCTAAAGTTGAACTTTGATGGAAGCTCTTTAGGCAACCCAAGTCCTTCTGGAATAGGTGGAGTTCTAAGAGATGCAGAGGGCAGACTAATTGCTATGTTCTCTGGGCCAATAGGAGTGGGAGATTCACTGAAAGTGTAAGTGTTGGCTCTACTACAAGGCTTAAAGCTAGCTAACCAGATGGGTCTTCATCAAGTTGAGGTAGAAGGGGATTCTAAGCTGGTAATTGGGTGGATGCAGTCACAAAGTTTGGGAGTCTAGGTATATAGACAGTTTTGGAGGGAAATACATTGGCTAGCAAGGGAGATAGGAGCCTCTTTCAAATGAGTTAGAAGGTCGGCTAACAGTTAGCTGACATGTTGGCAAAGCAAGGGACTGTTAGAGAGAACTTTTTTTGGGCAGTGCTGTAACTCAAGAGTATACCAGTGGGGTCAGCAGCCTGTAATTGGGTGGTTGAAGTTGTATTTGTGGTTTAATTATCTTCAATGAAAGTATCGTTTCCTATGATCCTATCAAAAAAATCTACAAACCAATATTTGCAGGGTTTGGATCCATTTTCTAAATGGGTTGAGCATGGAAATGGTTACGCGAATCCAAATATCATCACAAGTGGATCTGGATTAAGTTAATTGCACAAAACTATTGCAATCTCGCCAGGATCTAAGTTGTATGGTTGAAATGGCTGGAATATGAATCTCAAGAGCAGGATACAAGATCTGAATGGCACATGAGCCAAGTAGGATCCATTGCTGATCCAACCAAATTCATATTCACATCCATATGGGAAAACAGATTCAGATCATAAGGGTGGGTCCATGCCCATCCACATGCATTAAAGCAGTTCGTGGGTCAGGCCTACAAGGAAATGTATGCATGGTGGATCTGTAGCCAGTCCAGATTTTGGTCTGGCTTATTTCGGAATGGGGACCTTTGTGATGGCTCAAACTAGCTAGATCCAGGTATGGATCAGGGGAGGATTTTGGCATCACCCACTCCATTCCATCCCCAAGGTAGTAGGGACCAATGTTTTAAAACACAGAGGTGTGATGCAAGGCATTCCACTACCTAGAAGCATGAGGTGTGCATGAGGCGCATGCCTCATGAAAAAAGTGTATGAGGCATACGCCTCAGAGGTGTCGGCGCCTCAGGGTGTTTTGGGGGAACCTCACCTGGAGGTGCGCCTCCAGGCGTATGCCTCCCACGCCTTTTAAAACACTGGAAGAGACATGCTAATTACGATCTGGACCCAGATATAGGGGTCTGTTCCAGATGCAACCCATTTTATGACCTATCTTTGAACATAAAAACAGAGAAAAACAGAGTAGTGATGATGGTTCACATGCTTAACATATTGGCTGGACCTACTCTAGTTGGGCTCAATGTGCTCTCCAACAGGAAAGGTATCTGTAGATTAGGGTATAAATGCTTACCAGGTATTTGATTTTGGGATACTTGACCTCCCCCAATTCATCCCTTGTGGTCCTGGCCCCCTGGGTTTTGTAAGTAGACACCAAGTTTAGCTCACAGAAACCACTCTAACTAGCACCCTGTTTGAATGACCAAATACATCTTAGTGAAGGCCCATTGCTCCATTAGAGCCTTAAAGGCTTCAACTTGCACCAAAGCTCCTCAAGCATATGTATTTTTTCCTTCTTCCTGTCATGTCATTTTTTGGAATTCAAGATTTGGTATCAACAACATATTTTTCTTTTTTGGTGTCATGCTGCACAACTACAACAAGCTGCCATAGCATCATGCTACACAGCTGTAGCTGACATGCAAAACTGCACAGTTTTTTTCTTTGTTTTATGGCACATGCTGCAGATGGCAACACTAGATTATGCTATTGCAATCCTTAATTTCATTTTGCAAGAAAAGGTTTATTTTGATTCATTTGTTCAAGCTTTAAGATCTGAAATTCTCTCCTTAACAATAAATAAAAAAAATACTAGGTGTTTATACACACTTTTTGCTAAAAATGCTTCTATGTACTTATTAAGTACAATTAGTTTAAAATAACATATACTAGATATATCAGATATACCATATATTTAATAAATAAGTTTGTAGTCCCAGAAGCCTGGCCCTGGCCAATATACCCAGGCCTAGGTTAAGCCCCTTATACCAGGTGCACAGTGGGCCCAGACCATGATTACTGATTCACCCCTACTCCATGCACCTCAGCTCCACTTTAATTGCACTCCCTACTTTTAGAATGTTGTTCATCTTATGGTGCATATACTATTCGAAATTAAGGGTTGAAGATACCTGTCATTGTAACCTTTAAATGACGATGAAATGAATTCAACTACAGTTGACTAGAAGATTGAATAACGTAAGTCCTTGCTTGATCATAGTGGCAAGACATTTTAAAGAAATTCTGTCATCAGGAATTCCATGAATACCCAATTCTTATGGAAAAATAAGTATACTTTCTGAGGTTTTCATGATGAACGTAAAAATAAAATCAATCTTGAGTAATATCTCTCATGGGCAATTAAAACATAACCTTCACAAGGAGAGATTCTAGTAAAAATTTCCCATGCATGATCTTCATGTAATAGTTTGTTTCTTTTTATTTCCCTTTTTCATGCTGCTTTATAAATGAATCTTGATCATTACCACTCAAAGAAATACATTCTTAGGCCCTGTATTTTTACTATAAAACATAGCACAATGTTTAGAGAAACTGAAAATCTGTGATAAAGCCATTCCAAGGAAAATAGACACTTATTAGTTTCATGTAACTTACAGCAGCAGAAGTTGCACGTATCTCCCTATAAGCTTCAACTTCCTCAGGAAATGCTTGCTCAAGCTCCTCCAAAAGATGCTTGCGTAGACTCTGTATAAACCAATACAAAAAGTTATAACAGACTAGAAGCCATCAACAATCACAGCAAGCATTAGAAAGGAAAATAATAAAGGCTATTCACCAGAAAGGCTCCTTCAATGTATCATATTGGCATGTATTAGGGCTATTCACCAGAACCAGCTTGATGTAGAAAGAATAAGAGAGTCCTAAGAAAGTTGAGGGCCCTAATAATAATTTGGATATTTGGTAGAAGAAAATATGATGTTTAAAAAGAAAATAAAAGTAAGTAACTAAAATGAATTAACTTATGGAACCTAAAGGAATATAAGGTTGTATATGCTGTACATAATCATTTTAAGGCTCTATATTCAGATCCAACTGAGGTTAGTACAAGTTAGACAGCTGACAGATTTGGATTGGGACAGATTGATAGAGGAACAAGTACATTTTTAGAAAGGAATTTCTCATCGGAAGAGATCAAGAAAGCAATTTTCTCGATGGAGAGATCCAAAGCCCCTGGTCTGGATGTTTTTTCAATGGCTTTCTATTGAGAATGTTGGGATTTTTTGAAATTAGACAATTCAGACATGTTGGACATCTTTAATGAGTTTTTCCGCAGGGGAGATTTCCCCAAGTGTAAATGCCACTTTTATTACTTTGGTGCCAAAAAAATGAGGCAAAAACCCCAAAGACACCTACATACTTATATGTAAGACACCACACAGTAGATATTATTAGACTAAATTATTCATATTGTGGGTTAGTAGTATTAATATTGTTATGCTTATACTAGTTTCTTTTTGTTATTTTCTTATATGTTTGGATTCAATCGAGACACAAGTCAGTTACATAGTCTCAAACCCTTTAGGACTTTAAAACCTGAATTGATATGCAAAAAAAATAACTTGAAGATTGTATCCAATTGACACACAAGAACAATCAATAGGATTTCTTCTTCCTAGGACCAAAACAAGGGCTCAGCCCTTATGTTTTGTGTGCTTCTTTCCTTTCTTATTTTTCTACTCATAAATATGTTCACTTTGTATCTATTGATATGGGGTTTATACTTTATACTTATTTCTTGAGAATTATGGTGATTATTAGTTAAAGATCACTACTCATTACTATGAAACCTAGGACTCTACCCTAGGATTTATATTTTTTTTATTTTAAAAAACCCATCGCCTAGGCACCTAGGCGACAAGGCACTCCCCTATCACCTAGTTTCACCTTGGCGCCTTGAAAACTATGATCAGGGTGGGGTTTAAGAATGAGGAAAGGGAATTGTTAGAGGAGGAAAAAAGGGAGATTAGTATTCAAGAGCTTATTCAGGCGTTACAGACCAGGAAGTTCTTTCGCAGGAAACAAAATTGGAGTCTGTCAAGACAAACCTAAAGGAAGAAATTTGGGGGTCAGGACAATGGGAAGTGGTTGGAATTGGTTGCTGACGGTCTTCAGAGGGCATTGTCCAAAGCTATCAAGGTGTTGGTGGCTTTATCAGGCGTTATATTTCGGTTTGAGCTCTATGGTTCCTGAGTTTGAACAATGTAGCAGATCAGATTGGAGGGAGATCTTTTGGAATGTGTTTGAATTTTAGACTTGTAACAATCATTCTTGCTTTTGTTGGTCTTTAGCCGCTTTGTATTGTGTGGTGCCATCTTGTCACCCTACTTTGTAACCTTTTTTCTTATTTATAAATCTTTTTTATTACTCTTCAAAAAAAGGGGGAACGGATTTGCTAGTAGGGAGAATTGAGGAAGAAGGGTGTGGCATTTTAAAGGAAGCATCACCTTTAGTGGTGCAAGAAGGCGAGAAATGAAACCAAGGTTTGAAGTTGATAAGATAAAAGAATTAGATGGGGGAACTATTAGTAGCAGTTCAAAAGAAGGGCTTAGGGAGTTTGGTGAGCAGCTAGAGCCTGAAAGGGAGGGTGATGAGGTAGTAGTTTCAGTAGAAGATTGTAAGAAAGCTGAGGAGGGTGTTGGAAGCATTAATAGGGGGAGTTCAATTTGAATGAATCCAAGAAAGGTGAGACAGAAAAATTTGCCTAACAGGTTTAGGTTCAAGGATGTGTAAAAGGAAAAGGAAGTATAGAATGAGACCCTTGCAGGAAAAGCTTGAAGCAACGATGAAGGGGAGGAGTAAGAACTGCTACTCAAGTGATGAAGAGGTGACAATTGATGAAACTCATTTAATTGAAAAATAAATAGATTTAGAAATGGTTGTAAACAAAGAGTTGGAGATAAACAAAATTTTGGGTTTAAGTTACATAGGAGGCGAGGAATTTGCAAGGAAAACCATTAAAGAATTTAAAGAGTAACCTTTTTAATCAATAATAGAATCAATTTCATTAATTAAGAAGAAAATTAGTACAACAAAAGAGAAAGAAGGGGAAGGGATAATCTCTCTTAGCCCTTCCCAACTTTTGAAATTACAACACAACCCAAAATATTCCTTCACACCCCTTGTTTAGCAAGCGTATCAACAAAGGCATTTGCATCTCTTTATAACCAATTACAAGTCACTTCTATTCCTTGTAACAGTATAATGGCTTTCCCCTTCTCATATATAGAACCACCATCCAGCCTCTTCTTTTTGTAACTAGCTTATTACAAGCTTTGAATCACCTTTAATTAGCAATTTCTTTATGTTCAGCTCCTTAGTCTTTTGAATCCCTTCCATAACCGCCAAAATCTCAGCCCTTAAAGAGTCCCCAACTCCAATTGCACCTGTATAGAATGCAATAACATTTACCTCCTCATTCATAAACACTCCTCCAATGCCAAATGGACCCAGGTTGCCTTCACTACTACCACCAAATTGAACTTAGCAAACCTCTAAGGGGAGGGGACCAAACAGGCCTAACCACCTCCCCAAAGGGGAAAGAATTAATTACCTCTCTCTAGTTACTCATCACCTCACCCCCAGAAACATCCTTGAATAGATCAAATGACTTCACCTAGTGGACCACCTTGATGGTAATAGCTTCCCTGCTTCGTTCTTTCCCAAGAAATATGTGTTGGTTTCTCTCTTCCCAAATTGTCCAACACGCCACTGTCCTTGTGGATCTCCAAAGCATTCTTCACCTCTTCTTTGACCAGCTTACGAAAGGAGCAAACAAGCTTTGTAGATTAGCCGGAGGGTTCCATCTGCAGCCAACGAAAGAAAGAACCATTCCCAAATTGAAGAAGAAAAAGGGCAAGAGATTAACAAGTGATAGCAATTTTCACCACTAACTTTGCAAAGGGAGCACTAGTGGGGGGATGGGCACCTATTAGGTCTTTTTCTTCAGAGTAGCTCACAAGTATTAATTCTCTCCAAATACATTTCCAAGCACAAACCACCCACGACCATTAACCAAACGAAAATCCAAACACAATGATTTTAGTTCCTATGGACCTAACTGTAATCAGTCCCGCACTAGTAGGCCCGAAAAATTAGGGTTTCACTGCACTCGGCTACTTGGGAGAAATGGAAGAACAGCAGCCGCTGCCAGAGCTCTCCAAACACTCTCCAACTTCAACCGCCCTCTTCTAGGGATCAAAAATGACCTTCCAAACCCTAAGAGCCACTCTCACACTGTATCCTTGACCTGTAACTAGAAAACTCTCTAGTCCGCTAGGGTTTTGGGTAAAAAACAGCAGCCTCTATCTCTTGGCAATCTATAGCCAGTTTCTATCTCTCCAGACCCTCTACCAACAATGGCACAAATGATCTCAAAACAATCAGCAATTTATTTTTTTTTTTTGATGAATAATAATAAGTTTATTGATTCATAAGCAAATTAGAGTGAGTTCATACATCATCCCAACGAGAGGCGCGAGCTACAGCCCCTCCTTGAAACTTACAAGTAAACTAGGAAAGAAAAACAAGAATCACAACTGAGCCCAAAA